ACTTTGAACACCAGGAAGATTCAACCCTGGATCCTCTCGGGCTAGTGCCAGGATGGAAATATAAACAGGACAGCCAAGCTAAAGATGCTGGGGGAAGAGGGTAAGTCCTGGCCCCAGAGTCCGAGGAGTCACTGAGATCCTGCAAAGAAAAGCAAGAGGGCACGCCTCCTGCCCAAAGGTGGGCCACCCCCCAATGCAGAGCGAATGTGGTTACAGATGCTACAGAGTTAGCTAGTGACAAACCTGAGCTATTGGCAAGCCCCTTTTAGTCTAAAGAAAAGTTTATTTATGGCTTAAGACAGAAAACTCCATCTACAAAACAGTGAATAATTTTTTCCTTAAGGTGTGCGTCTAAGAAAACTCTATAGGGTGGAAAATTCGCATCGGAATTGCCACAAGTGACCTATCTTATCTAGGTGGCCTAGGGTGACGGGGCATAATGGAGTTTAAAGGCAGAACATAGAGTGAGTGTCCTAAGCTGGAAAACGTAAGTCTAGTACCTAATATATCTAACTAGGAAGAGAGAATAATAGTTGTGATAGTTTAATCCAGGTCCCTCTCCCCTCATCCCAGTTCTGGTCCAGGAGGAAAAGGCAGGTTCCCCAGGTGACCTGAGAGTCTTTCTGAATTGTTAGAAAATACAAATGCACACAAGTGAAACAAACATATGACTAGGATATAAAGATGGATCTAGCTCCACACCTAAAAACCCGTGACTGCAGACCTCTGTCCTCCTCACCCCTGCTCCCAGCAAATGACCTTATAGCGCTGTGCACCATGAGGATGACAGGCCCTAGATCCTCAGCAGAGAAATGACTACAGGGGTCTCATCTCAGTAGATGCTGAAGTGTGCTGGACAGATGTGAACTAGGGGCAGATAAAGCCTTTAGCCAGAGCTTGCCAGCAGTCAGGGTACCACTCCCTGGTCGTCTGACTTGTGTTTACTCGTTCAGCTAAAGCAGAAGCCTACTGGGTCAGGCCAGAATCAGACTTTGAACAACATCTTCCTCCTCCCCATTATCAGAATGACCTATTTATTTCACTTTACCTGTCCCAGTGCCCTGGTTTGAACACACACCCATTCCTTGCTCTTATGCAAGTTTTTACCCCTGAAGCCACACTCTTACCTGCGGGACTCTTCCGTAATCCCTTACTTCATCTTTAGCATCTCTCAGTTTCACAATGTATTTCTCAGGTTCTAAATTATAACTTACGTGAGTACTTATACTTTTTCACTCCTCTGACTCCTGGCAACCCAGTCTTAACCCTGTCTTTATTGATCATTTAGCAATAGCATCTATAATAATTGCTCTTCCAGACCCTCTGTCGACTAATTAGCAGGTACCGTCTGGCTTGTTCTTCACCGCCTGTTTTTTTATTTGTTTTTTTTTTTTGCAGTGCCTCTTAGCCTTTCACCCCCGCCTCCTCTTCAAGATATTTTCTCCCAGTCAGCCTCTTGGTTGTCAATCTCCTCCCGCATTATCCTTTCCTGGTCTTTTGTATTCCTTCAGTCCATCACTTGCACATATTTTCAACCAGTCACCCTTCTGGTAGTCTCCATGTGTAATTACTTTTAATGGCTTTTGGTTTCATGAACACTATAAATACTTGGGCCAAGCTGCCAAGAGAGCAGCACCACCAAACCTTACTCAGACACTCCCAAAGGACAAGAGAGACCAGAGAAGCCATCATGGACACTGCAGGGAAGGTGAGTTTGCTGCCTTGTGATACCCCATAGCTCCTTTACTGCCATCAAGCAAGTGAGTGTTTAAAAGAAATTTAGACTTTGTGTTCTCTGATGAGACTATTAACAAATGTAACGGCCCTAGCACCCAAAGTTTCCCAAGATGTGGAAAGTCTCCCACTGTAGCCTGGAGAATGAATTCCAGACAAGTTTACAATGATTACAATACTGTAGCAAAAGCTTTGGAATTTACCTATCATTTCATCTGATACGTATGAGAATGATATGCTGTCTGCTGCGCTATGGAGGCAACTAGACCTGGAAATTGATCCCAGTGAAAGAGTCCTGTATGTTCTTATGAACAGGTTACCAGCACCATGGTAAAGAGCATGGATGAAAACAACATCTGTGGAGGATTAGGAAGCTGCAGGTCCAGTGTATTAGTCAGTCAGTCAGTCTGAACTTGTCAGTAAAGAAAATTACTCATCCTGCTACATGGAACATCAAGCTGTGACCAGGATGTTCAGTGGGGTCATAGGAACACACAGTGCACACACAGAACAGTGACTGAAGAACTTAACTCTGCATCCTTAGCAGTGGTGAGAGCTGGGCATGCTTCCGTTCCTTACATTTGTCTGTGTAACTTAGTGTTTTGTGATATTTGAACATTGCTTTTGAAATCAGGAAATTTTTTCCCTAAAAGTTATTTTTGACAAAAGTTTTGAAATGTGAAATAATGTGAAAACAACATTATTCTAATTATGTTATTCACAGACAAAAGTAGTGTTCCACTGTGACCCAAGTCCTTTTTCTTTATAAGATCAAAACCTATATTATCTCTTTTGCTGGAGTCTAAATTTCTTGAAGACACAACAGATTTACTCACAATTACTAATGCAGAAAGCATACCTACAAATGGAATACATTTCAAGTTATACAAACTAGTATCACAGGATAATACATCTAAAAGTTAAGCTAGTCCACTCACTGAGGAAGAGCTGTTTCAAGAATACACAGAAAGATTCTCAAGATAATGGAAGCGGCCTCTCAAAAGAAGTCTGGAAAAATAAGAATTTGTTGTGCAGCAACAGTGTAAAAAAGGCAGAAACAGTAACCAAGCCATCCTGGACAACTCATTTAGATTCTAGCTTTGTATTACACAAAGAAATAATCTTCATGGTCTTCAGTTAAATATGAGTTAAGTTTTTAAAAATCAAACTGGAAAAAATTCAAAGAGAGGATAAGAAACATTTGTCACTATATGGAGAATTTTCAGACTATGGAAATGGAATAAATTACAAAGGAAAAGGCTTTTATAAACAAACATCACAAAACATGCATCATTTCAGACAAAATTATTTTAAAAACTGCAGAGAAAAAACTTGTATGATGAGCTGACAGATGGCAAGTTACTCCTTTGATGTCTAAAGAACTAGTTTGCATTTAGCAAAAGAAACAAGATGCCAGTAGGTCTGTAAATGCATGAGCAAGCCTTCCCATTAGGATGGCAAATACCCATAGTGCTACACTAAAAACATACCAATGAAGACAGTGGGCTTTTTCTGCCTGGACAGAAGATACAGTCAATGCTAAGTAAAATGGAATAAATGATAGCAAAGACAATTTATTATTCTGGGGAGTGAGTCAAGTGATTAAATCCAAAGAGATTTGAAAGTCAACTTAGCACTAACAATGACTCTAACCTTCCCAAGAAATTTTCACTTAAGGAAGCAAACTAACCAAGAAAAAAAAAATATGAACAAATGTGTTCATCATAATACCCTTTGTAAGAGGAAAAGCAATGGAAACACTCCTATAGATAGTTAATTATTTTAAAAATAACCCCTCCTGGAGGGTACCACCCTCCCTGTGGAGTGGGGGGGGCATGGGATGGGAGAGTGGTCCAGGGTATGGGAGGGAGGGAGGGAGGGAAGGAGGGAGGCAGAGAGAACTGTAAGTAAAAAAAATATTTTGAAAGCCTGGAAAAAAATTCACTAAACTCTTGGTAATTTATGCTTAGAACACAAGTAACTTGTTCATATTTATTTGAGGGGTTTCCCTATGATTTTTGTATTTTTACAAATAATAGCAAGTGTGATCAGGAAAAAGGGAAGTTTATTGGTAAATGCCAATTTATTTTGTGCCCATCAGACAATCACATGTAGGGCAGCCATTGCCTGGAAAGAAAAGTCTCCTCTTTCAATTGAAGAAGTGCAAGTTGAGCCACCAAAACCTGGAGAAGTTCGCATTAAGGTAAGTTTAAGTCAGCCAGAGGACAAAAGACAATAATGCTACACTTCAAAAAAATAAATGTAGGGGCTGGAGAGATGACTCAGCAGTTAGGAGCACTGGCTGCTCTTCCAGAAGAGCAGGGATCTGTTCCCAGCACCGATGTGGTGACTCACCGACATGTGTAACTCCAGTTCCAAGGGGGCCACCGCCTACCATGCTTCCTACTTGATTGGCCACTGCTCTCATACAGACTATAATCTAGGTCAGACTACCCCACACAGCTGGAGACTGCAGTGGCAAGAAATAAGCAGTGTCACATTGACCCCTTGATAAAATCAAAGTCAGAGACTAGTTATGTCCACTGCGGTGGAGGAGTCCCTGCCTCCTAGCTTATTCTATGAACCATGGCCACCGACAATTACATACTCCCATTTGCTATGCCCAACAAACTAACAGGGACACAGAGCCTCCACATATGAAAAAAGCAAGTCTAGCCTTTGGTAGCATCTGGAAACAATTTTAACACAGGGAGGATCCAAAGCATAGGTATGTCTCTGGCATACTTTTCCACCCACTTGCTGCATACAGAGAGAGACAGGAAGAGACAAAGAGCAACCATTGACAGGGATGATGTGGAACCCTGAGATGCCTCATAGAGGGCAGTGTGGAGTACTCCCCAAGCTATGCTGACCCCACAAAGCTTTGCACCAATCCCCAGAACAAAGGGAAACCTGACTTACATGAGTTTTGGGGTGAGGGGGCTGTTGAAAAGTTTGCGGGCACATGATTTGGGTCAACAAGGTGAACACGACAGAGACAAGGAAGGACCATGCTCTCCACACAGACAGACCTAGCAAGTCACACCACAGACTGCATGGAGACGCGATACAGTAGGGTGTCTTCCAGCAGTGGGGCCTGGCCTTTTCAAAGGGATCTCTCTTTTAGGGGCAGGTTTTTGCTCTAACACATGGCCGTTGTTTTAGAGACCAAGTAAAATCATTCTTATCAAACAAAACAGAGCACTTGGTCTAAAAGAGAGAAAAATCATAACCCACTTGTCTTTGGTCACTGAATCCCTACACAGATGGCATCTTCAGGGATCTGTGGTTCTGACGCCCACGTGCTGAAAGGAGAGCTCCCACTGAAATTCCCTTTCATTCCGGGTCATGAAGGAGCAGGAACTGTGGAGAGTGTTGGGGATGGAGTTAGCTCCGTGAAACCAGGTAGAAAATGGGAAACTTGGGAGCAGCATGCCAGGGAACTCCTGATCCAAAGGGAAGGGACTCTGGCTGCACTATTAGCATATTCAGCAGAAAAACAAGTTGGGTTTGCCTATAGACTCTTCTAGCTAATGATGTGTCATGTTATCAAATGAAACCAGTGATCCAAAGAGGCCCATCTCTTTCACCTCTTTCCTGGCAAAGGTGGGGGGGAGGGAGAACAGATCCTGAGCCAGCCAGATGAAGGTTGGTATAAGAGCAGAGACCATCTAAACTAGTTGAAAGGTCCTTAGTCTTAAGAGCTGTTTATCTTTTGATCACCACAGTGCTTTAGAAGGGTGCCCATTCATTCTTGACAAATGAATGAACGTTGTAGTCAACTAAAATGTGCTGCTTGAAAGTTACATGGCAGGATGATGGGTACATATCAATGAATCTTCCCCAGTTGCATCCTAAAGGATGTTGACATTATTATTACTATTCCTAGCATGCCTAAACAGATCACAATGTGTTAGCAAGCACTCATAGATGATGGTAATTTAGAAACCCCATAGTCTGTGACCAGCTGCATAAAGACACTTAAGAGAGTACATAGCAAGGCCATCAGTGGCCATCATTCGTGTGTACACCAAGTATATAGCAATTATGAGATGCATATTGTGGATCATGGAAGGGGCACAGAGAGCAAAGAGCTGAATATGCATCTCCCAGAATGTAGTGTAAATAAGAGCACTCACAGTCTACCCCCTCTTTAGCCAGAAAGATTCTACCGGGAATTTTGTGGGAAACAATAATGAGCATTTGAAAGGAAAGGATAGTTAGAACTTCTTCCAGATCTGATATCTAGTATCTAGAAAATCTTAAGAGTCAATAAAGGTAAGGCGTGCTTTATCAAAATCTAAAGAGATTTTTAACTGCTATCTTAAGGAATTTTCCGATAAACAAACATCTGTAAGGGCCAGTCCAGAGACAGCAATGTAGACCCTGGCAGAGTCTACAGGAGTCTGTGATGTCTGCATAGGTCAAGCCTTCTAAGCTGCACTCAGTCTGTCACACTAAACCTTGGGGCATGAGTTGATCCAAGACCCAAACATTACCCAGATCCTCTGTGGAGCTCTTCTATGGTAACTGTCCCAGAAAGAAAGTGGAAGAGAAAGAACTGTTTTCCTTTGGAGTTGACTCAGCTTAGAATTCATCAGCAGTAACCACTGCCAGCGGCCTGCCGAATGTCGTGTGGGAGTAGACCAGGCAGACTCCAGAGAGAGGGCTGACACTGCTGGGCCACCAAAAACAGGCTGTAACAAGCAAGGGATTATATTTTTGTTTTCGTTTGTTTGTCTGTTGTTTCGAGACAGGGTTTCTTTGTGTGTAACCTTGGCTGTCCTAGAACCAGCTCTGTAGACGAAGCTGGTCTCAAACTCACAGAGATCCACCTGCCTCTGCCTCCCAAGTGCTGGGATTAAAAGTGTGTGCCCGGCAAGGAATTACATTTTTAAAATGGAAAACAAAAGAATTAACATTTTTAAAATGAAAAACAAAAGACCTACACTAGATGGCTTTACGGTTCCTTCCTGATTCTATTGTTCTGTTTTCTAAGTAGGGAAAGGTAGTCCTACAACTCTCTATCTATCTAAAGATGAGGCAATGTCTCCTCATCTTTACCCAAATGGTAACGCTCTGAAACCAGGTAAAACGACTAGTTAGTGTTTTAAAATAACCTGGGGTGTCACACTGGCTGCCGTCCTCTTCCCATGGCGTGTTGTCAAAAGAGTTGGTAAGATTTTATTGTATTTTTATTCCAGGAACTAATTCAGATTTATTGATTTATCTCCTCCCCTTACCCCCCCCCCACAGGAGATAAAGTCCTCACACTCATTATTCCCCAGTGCCGAGAATGCGATGCCTGCTTGCACTCCCAAGGAAACTTCTGTGACAAACAAGAGTCAGTACATTTGTTCCTTGCCCTTTCACCAAACAGCTCACATTCTATGTGCCTCATGGTGACCACATCTCTCTTTTCATCTCCTTATGTCTATGCCTGTGTGTGGGTGTCCATCTACGTGGCTGTGGGGCAGTGTTCTTCCATGTTCCGGGGTGATGCTGGACGGGACCTCTAGGTTTTCCTGCCAAGGGCAGAAGGTTTACCATTCCTTCCGCACAAGCACGTTCACCGAGTACACTGTTGTGCCCGAGATTGCAGTAGTCAGCGTTGATGCTGCTGCTCCTATGGATAAAGTTTGTCTCTTAAGCTGTGGCTTCCCTACAGGCTATGGCGCTGCTGTTAACTCAGCCAAGGTGAGCAAGATGGCCCAAAATAGCATTGCTGCCTGCCCACAATGTCGTAAGATGACTGCCTAGGTCTAACCCAGGCTGGATTCTTTCTTTTTATTTATTTATTTCTTTTTTTATTTTACATGTCAATCCCAGTTCCCTCTCCCTCCCTCTTACCCTCTCTCCACCCTCACATGCATCTCCCCACCCCCATTCCACATGGTAGGGTCATGTAGATCTGTCAGGTCATTTGAAGTAGGGACTAGGACTTCTCTCCTGTCTCTAGGTTAAGGCAGTTATCCCTCCATGGGGGATGTGTCTGCAAGGTCCCTTTGCACACCAGGAATACATCCTGGTTCCACTGTCTGAAGCCCCTTAGACTTCTCAGTCCTTCTAGCTGAGACCCATGTTCAGGGGGTCTGAGTCAGTCCCATGCTGGATTCCCAGCTATCAGTCTGGGGGGAGGGGGCATTAGCTCTTCCTTGTTCGGGTCAGCTGTCTCTATGTGTTTCTGCAACCTGGTCTTGTCTTCTCTCTCTGAATCTGGTTTCTATTTCGACTCAGTGTTTAGTTATGGGTGTTTGCTTCTGTTTCCAACAGTTACTAGATGAGGGCTCCATGATGGTGGATAAGTTAGTTGTTGATCTCACTATCCTGCAAGGGCATTTATGGTAGCCTTTCCACAGTTGCTCAAATTGTTAGTTGGCGGCAGTCTTGTAGGTCTCTACTTTCTTTAGGTTCAGTCCAGGCTGGAAGAGAAACCTAACTTGGTATTCCTCAGAAACCTCTCAGTGCTGGTTTCTGTCATGGGAAGCAACTACTGCCCTTCCCTGCCCCCCAACAGCAAACTGTATCTAGTCCCCGATTAACCCAAACATCCTGCATCAGATCAAAGTCCCCAGGCTAATGTCCAGCAGTTCTGACCCCCATCCACCTCCCATGCCTACCAGACCATAAAACTGATTTATTTTTTCCCCAAGCAAGCTGTTGTTCTTTAACCTCCCAGGCAGCCCTGGCAGTTTGTTCCTCAACAAACTTCTTTCTACCCATGGAGTGGTCTAGTCCCATGGTTTGACTGCACCTCACTTACATGTGTGTTGTCCACATGTCATGGGGGGGGGGTTGAATCAAAACTATGCTGAATCTGCCCAAATGTTCCAAATGATACATACATAGTTTCAAAAGGCTCTCGTTAGTGTTTTTTTGTTTGTTTTGTTTTTTATTTTCTTAACTGCCTGTGCCCAACTTTGAAAACTGATAATAAAGACATGCTCTATGAATCTGCAGGTCACTCCTGGCTCCACCTGTGTGGTTTTTGGACTCGGAGGGATTGGCTCTGCCATTGTCATGGGCTGCAAAGCTTCTGGGGCTTCCAGAATCATCGGGGTTGACATCAATGAGCAGAAGTTTCCCTGGGCAAGAGCCTTGGGCGTCACTGATTGTCTCAACCCTAACAAGCTCAGGAAACCTGTCCATGAGGTGGTGATGGAAATGACGGGTGTTGGTGCTGACTTTGCCTTTGAGGCCATTGGAAAAGTTGATACCATGGTATGTTCACTGGGCACAGGGATGAGGGGTGCCTCTCGCATGATTTTAAGCTCTTCCGAAAATAGGTTTTAGGCCTGTGTGCCCCCAATGAAAAATGGAATATAAACTCACCCTACAGCCTTATTTTATGAATCAACGGCAATATGTTATGGCATACAAAACTGAGGTATGCAAAGAGCCATAAGATTAATTCTGCTTATTTATACCTAAATAAGAAAATTATCAGATTCACATATATTTATCTGTGTGTCCCAACAGAACATGAGAAACTGTCAAACTCCTGTACCTCCATATGTCAAGTTCTATGCATACAGGAATTAATGACCTAGCTGGCATCCTCCTGGATCATAGTTTAGAGAGGAGGATGTATACCCATTACATTGAAATGTTTGGGTAATCCTTGATCAAAAACTGAAAGCTGTTATGACAGAAAAGAGGCAAATAAGGTAAAATTTGAGGGAAAGGGGAAGAAAAGAGAGTTTAAAAGATGAAACAGACAAGAAAATGTGTGCCTATGAGTTCACTGGAAAATTCACTTTTTAAAATGAAGCTTCCCCCAATTGCATCTGTATTTACTATGTTCTGTTCTAGTTTGTTTCGGTAGAAATCAATTGTGCAGTAAAGCATAGAAAGTGAAGAGTTCGGGAAAAAGAATGGGTGGCTTTTAAGGCTGAGAATAGTTTTGTTGAGTACACCCATTTATTCTTATATGCCGGTGCATGGTCAATGGGTCTTAAGGGGATAAATCAATCAATCCTCAAAACAACCCTACGAGGAAACTGAGCCAACAAGGTTAAAGTACGTGCCAGAGTCATACAGGTTGCAGAGTCTGGACTGTTTACTCCTACACCACAGTGATTCTCGGAGGAGATGTCATGACACCAGTGTCCAAGTCGAATTTGAAGCGATACCTATCCAAGAAAGTTCAAATCTCAGGGTGTCTATGGTCCTTTCCCTGTGGGTGTAGCTTGTATTAATGTGTGGGTTTTGTCTGTGGCTCTCGCTGTCATTCTCAGGTCTCTGCTTGGAACTCCTGCAACAAGAGCTATGGCGTGTGTCTGATTGTTGGGCTGGCCCCATCAGATGCACAGCTGTCCCTTGAGTCAACCAAGATTATATCTGGAAAAACCCTGAAGGGCGTGTGTTTGGGAGGTAGGTGGATAAGTAGAAGGGTGTGACGGCTTAAGTCCGCCCCTTAGGAAACCAGATATGAAGAGAAATGTATGCCAAGACTCTTCCTGAAATGAGAGTAACTTTCTTCAAATTGCCTTTGTTTTAAATCTGGAGAGAGTGTAGTATCATGTAGGTATGTATATGTATTCATGTGTGTATGGGTTAATGTGTGTACATGCATGTGTGTGGGTGTGCAAGTATGTGTATATGAGTGTGCATGCAAAGGCCAGAGTTTGGTATCAGGTACTTCCTCCGTCCTGCTCATTTTTTCACACGGAGCTCCTCACTACACCTGGAGCTCACCAGTTGGACAAAACTAGCTAGCCAGTGAGTTCCAGGGATCTTCCTGTCTCCACTTCCCTAGAGCTAAGATCCCAACTGCATAGCATACCTGACTGGGTACCCTGAATGCTGGGGACCTGAACTCATGGAAAGTACTTTACCAACCAAACCGTCTTCCCAAACCACCAAATTAATTTTAATTAGATAAATAAAATAATGGAGCCATTGAGGATTTAAATTTTTCTTCAAGGAAAATACTTTCATAGTAATCAGAATTATTTAATCAGCTTTGGTTCAGCATTGATGGCTTCAAGGTCTATTGTGCTACTTTAATAGCAATGCCTTTATATGCATTAAACTGGTATTTTTGGGCCATGTGCTTCTGTCTTACCAGAAAAATCCTTATTCCTGAGCAATATTGATTAGCTGATTTTAAAAAAAATTGACACCCCCATTTCTATCCGTTCATCTAGTGGTGAGTGCCCATGCCATCCCCATGCATGTGGTTACACAGGGTTGCCATGCCATCCCCATGCATGTGATGGATACAGAGGGTTCCCCTGTCATCTACATGCATGTGGACAGAGACAGTTTTTATACCATATGTATGCATGTAGATAGAGAAGATTCCCATGTATGTGAGAGGAAATTGTTTTTAATGGTAACCCCAGAATATGGGTTGATAAAGTGAAAAGATTATTTTTCAACTCAGTTATATAAATATTGACCCAGATTTTATTTAAAGGATAACTAGGTAACGGAACTATCTATAGAAGCCACATTTAATAGCAGCTACCAATGGCTTTTCAGGTATAAATGATTCTCCTTTATGTTCAATGATAAATTTTCAGAGAGTATCTAACCCATCTCTCATGACTTACTTGATTTATTTTTATTCTGATTGGCTAATACCTCTTATTTTTATTACATTTATTTGTGGGGGGCACAGGAGGAGCTCAGAGCAGATTCTCTCCTTCTGCCATGGGGTCCTAGAGATCTAATTCAGGTAGTGAGGATCATGCAGCAAGTGCCTTTACCTGCTGAGCCATCTCATCAGCCTGGCTTATCTCAGGTCATATTATTAATAGTCATTTTGTCTTGCAGATTATAAAACCAGAGACTGTATTCCCCAACTAGTAACTGATTATCTCCAAGATAAGATTAATATAGATCCGTTAGTGACTCATCAGCTGCCTTTTAACCAACTCCACAAAGCCTTAGAACTGTATCATTCAGGAAAAACGTGAGTTTCTGTTTGACAATCACCTATATTCTGATAACTCATAGAGGAAATGACTACTTAGCTATTTCTAAGTGGTTTTGTTTAAAGGGCAGGGGGCAACTTGGACCTTTGGTATCTTTTATACATGTCTCCCTGTATCCTGATGTCATCCACATAGGAAAATCTTTTTCCACATCCTCTTTTAGGGAAAAGTCTACTCTAGCCATTTCATAGTGAAGAATTCAGCAGAACACACATAACTGTCAATAGAGTTTGTCTAGTTACAGAAATTATCTAAAACAAACGAATTGAATTTCTGGAGTCAGCAACCTTCCAAGAAGTCTAAGAAACATGTTGAGACTCCTGCCAAGAGCACAAATCCTTGTGTAATGGCAAGTTGGAACCAAGGAGCACCACAAAGTCACACCATGCAACAGAACTTGCGGGAGGTTCACTGGGGGGATGGGGGGTGCAGAGGCAGCCTCTAAGCAAGGGCAGGAGGAAAAGGTGGGGGCGAGAAGGGCTTGCTTTTTACAGGGGGATATAGTGCATGCCCATAGGGAGAGCACTCCACTCAGTGGCTTCAGTTGTCACAGAATCACACCTTGGCTGCTGCTGCTGATGTATCAGCTAGGTCCCCAAGGACAGGCTGGTGTAAACGCCTGAATGCCAACACCTTGTACATCTTTTCTGGATGATGGTCTACCCATGTGTTAGCACAACTGTAGGACTGCACCATTTACTCCCCAAGTACTAATTTGTTCACATGTTCTTTAAACGCTCAAGAGTTGATGGAAGGCTGTTGCTGTATGTGAGCAATTTCCTGGGAACTTATATTACACACATTCTCTCCTCTCTCTCTCTCTCTCTCTCTCACACACACACACACACACACACATACACACACACCTAGTCACCCTAGAAAGGGAACCCACAGTAGGCCAAAGTAACAACTGCACCAGAGTCCAACTTGGATAGCCACTGCATTTTTATTGGGGTTACTAACAACCGTGAAGGGGCATTCACAAGAACAGGGATGACTCTAAAGCAACTGCATCATGGAAAAGCCCACACCCCCCACACCCCTTACATCCCCCACCCCCACACCCGCAGCACGGGTGATGATTCAGGAAGGCTGTATCCTGAGGGCTCTTGCATGTCTTACATAGAAGCAGCAAACAGATCCCAGGGACCTCTCTACAGCTGGGCTGCTTAGAATCTCCTCTCAAGCAGTTTGCCACTTCTACAGCCCTGAGGAGTGGCTGTAAATCTTATAAGCTTCAGCTTTCCCTGACTTGCGAAACTTGTTTACCTCCTGCCTTTCACAAGCCTCCTTTCTATCTCCTGGAGCAAATGTTTCAATTTGGGGACAACTGTACTGCAATTGTCTTCCATTTGTGCTTTTCTTGTTCACTTTGAAGCAAGTCTCCAGTTGGTATTCTTTCCCCAACACTACCTGCAAGACTTCATTTGCTTAATGGTTGTTATATGAAAGCGTTTACATTTTTGCCCCATTCTTCCTGGTCAAATTTCGCTGAGTTTGTCAACCCATTTAAGTCAGTGAGAAAGTTCCAGGGAAACGTATCTGATTTTTTAAATTATTATTGTGTGTGGGAGAAGGCATCTGACAGGCAGTGAACATACTGTAAGAGGAAAGGGGCCAGAGAAAGCCGTCTGTTCCTTTCCGGTTCAGATGTTGGGCAAGATGCTACCCCAGCAGGGTGTTGATGAGAAGCTGCATCTGAGGTCCTGGGGTCTTCTGCGCTGCTGCAGCCATAGGAACCCCATTTGAAGAGGATGCCCTCTGTATGGCATTGGATTCCAACCCAGATACCACTCACTCAGATGCCAATTGTTACGTGGGTGAATTCGAGCAAAGATGACATCAAGATGGGAATGCCGGGCATTGAGGCTGCCACCCACAATCACTGTGCTGCCCAGTGCTTCCCAGGCATTTGTTTCATGATCACATTTTTCGTTTCAGCATCCGCTGTGTTCTACTGTTCTGAGATCTCAATGCTAGAAGTGCAGGAGCATCCTGAAGGGCTTTCATTCCTGCCCTTTTCTCCTCTCTGGTTACTCCTGAGCAGCTGGAAGAGGTGATGTAACAGTGGCAGAAATACAGTGTAGCTGCACAGTGTGAACTGAGGCCCTTGACTACACTACAACAAGTTGGAAGAACTGGTGTTGTGTAACTCACACTGTGACTGTAAAAAGAGAAATTTTGGCATTTTGTTCATGATGGAATTGATCATGTCCACAACCCGACTGATCAATGCCGTAAGGTATTGAGAGCTGTCCCCACGTTGATATGTTCCAGATGCCTTCATATGTGCAGATTTCCCTGCATCTTCCCCATCACTCTGGAGCTGACATAATGATTTTGCTGCTTTCCCCGTGGAAAATGCTATGGAGTCATCATCAATGGAAGGCCCCCTCAGACACAGTGGGTCATTTTCTGCCCTTCCACGTTTGTATCAACCATTGTTCTTCCTCGTGAAGTAGTGAGACATGGATGGCGCCCAGCTGCCTATTTGGGAAACTTTACAACTTACAACCCAGGGAGAAGGTACAGGATCTTCTCAGAGGGACTCAGCACATCTCTAGCACACACACACCCACTGCCTTTTCTCTTCAACAAACTCAGTGTAGTCACCTCATTTGGAGTTGAAGAAGGGAGAGGGAATGAGGCTTAGATCTTCATAGTCTTGCCTTTCCCTCATGCTATCTGCTTCTTCCTTCACTCACTAACATTCATCCAAGGAAAAGTCCTTTTACATTCTTCTTCACTCTGCCCTGACCCTGCCAGTTTTTGATTGGAATTCGCCATTTCACAGATAAAGGGGACTACATATGGTGCTGCTCTTTTAAGTTCTCAAAACAGTGTTTAGGTTGCGTTGTTTTTACACTTTTTAATTTAGTTTTTAAAATACTAAAATGTTCTTTCCAAAGAGGTATCTAAATGTGTTGTTCCTTGTTTTATAGGAATTTTGTAGCCTGAGGTTTTTGTAACTAATTTTTAAAAAGCTGGTGACAAACATGATTAAGTAACAATAGCGGAAAATGTTGGTGATATAAAATAAATATGTATAGAAGATATTTATATAGTCTATAAAAACGATAATAAATACCTTAATATGTAAAGGATGCTTATAAAATTATAAAAATATTATAATCATCCCAGTAGAAAATTAACTAGGATAGAAATAAGTATCCTGCCAAGTGAAAACTATTTAAAAAAATGGGCTACTAAAATGCCTCAGTGGGTAAAGATGATTGCTGGGAAAGTGTATCAACCTGAGTTCAGTCTCTAGAGCTAAAGATGGAAAAAAGAAATCTGAGTCAACCGAGTTAGCTCTGTTCCTCCCCACATGCTGTGGCAGAAGCATGCACACACATCATAGGTGCTTGATCACATACACAGAAATAATTGTTTAGAAAAGAACAATAACAATGAAGTAACAATATAATTGTTCCTATCATCAGGTTGTCAAAACACAAAACAAATGGCACTCTGTACAAGTCAAAGGGTAGGAGCAATATGAGAGCATGCAGTCACACTAGAGCTGGGTAGGTCAAGATGCCCTTGGAACATGCCGTCACACCATGATCTAGTCTACAGACTCCACGAGATCTGGCAGTGAGCGACTGAGAGCATCTCTAGGAGTGCAAGACCATATCCAAATGCTGTGAGACAGGAGACGGCATGTTCAAAGTACTGTAGCACGCAGAAAAGAAGGGGAATTGCTGTGGATGAAACTAGAGAAATAGGAGGTTGACATGATGGTCTCATGGCCCTTTTGCTTCAAAGACACTTATATAAACACTGATTGTAACAGTTAAAATTACAAACAGCCCAAATGTCCAGTGCTTGTTATTCATGGAATAATGTTTTTCCTGAAATCATGGTATGTTGTACAACTTTTCAAGTGATGAAATACATTACTAAGCTTAAAAACAAACCACAATAGTAAGATAGTTTGCAAATGCATGTGCCTGTTATGATTGTTTTGGTGTATATAAATAAACAAACAAGTAAATCCAGGAGTCTGATTAACTGTGACTGGTGAAATTCTGTTCCTCGTAAGGGGAAATTGAGGTGATTTAAAAATAGCTTGACTGGAAATGTTACTGAAAGGCTGGGCCATTCCGGTTATGCATCTTTCATGCTAACCCCTTGGCAATTCCTCCCAGGCCATCCAGACAGAAGCTGTCAAGGACAGCTAAGGCATTGGGTGGTTTTACAAAGAGAACATTTAATTGCTTATGAGATTCAGTTGGTCAGAGGCACAAAATGTTAGCAAATGAGACAGGTGAGAGAGAATAAAAGTTGGGGACAATAAAAAGGACATGCACATTGGTAGGGGGCAGGCGAAGCAAACAGCAGGCAGTTAGCAAGGAAGCCAGTGGGAACATTCTGACTTTGCTTACTTGGGCTACCAAAGAAATGATTTCTTTTCATGAATCCTCCAGAAGAACAAATAGTTTAGCCATGGCACTATGTGCTAGGCTGCCTCTGTAATCTCTGCCAGTTTTCTACCCAACAACACCCTGCCAAGCCAGGTAGCTAGCATGTCACTTCCTGGAAGCTCACTTGGGTAGATGGATCCCAGCTTCTCAAGTATCTTATGATCCAGGAGAAACGTGCTGTCAGTGACACAAGAATATCAAGTGCCTTTGAGAGCAAGGGAGCCTTTCTGAGTTCCTGTGCTTTGTCTGGGGACCTGAGAACTCAAAGGCCCTGGGAACTCAAGCCACCCCAAGCCAGTGGCTTTTAGATTCTTGTGTCTTGAATTCAAAGAATGAAATTCATGGACCACAGAAGGTAAATTTTAGAGAGAGAACAGCTATTTTTATTACAGAAAGCTGAAAAGAAAGGAAGCAGAGCTCCTGCTCACAGGAGGGGTCCCAGGAGTGGGATGCCATTGACTGCCATTGCCTTGATGTTGACAAGGCTTTTCTGGGTATAGGATGGATGAAAGAAGCTGATTCAAGGTACGCCATTGCCTCTGTTTCAGTCATAGTCTCAGTGTGGTTTCCAGGAAACCGTGCTTCCTCATGGTGGAAGAGATATGGAACAAACAGACCTCCACTCTCTGACACCCCCTCTGATCATGGTGGAACCAGCGACAGTTTGGCGGAAACATATCTAGCTTCTTTCAAGGACGAGGATACCGACATACCCAAGAACACTTTTTTACTTTTATCCATGAAAGCAAACTGTCCACTCTTCAGTAACGCCTTTTCCCTAAAACTGTCTGGCCAATTGCTAGCAAATTCTTGTCCTCATCATTCATTTCCCTCCCCGAAGATAGAGCCCTAACTACTGTTAGGAAGTTGGGGTGAAAACCAATGTGTGGTTTCTACAAGTTGGAGGCTTGTTGGGCATGGCTATTGGCATACCGCTCTAGTGGGCCTATCTAAAAGGCCCCAAAATTGCTTCTTTTTGTATAACTGTCAGATAAGGAGCTTTGGCTCCTGGATTGGTGATGGGGAGAAACAATAAACTTTAGTGAGATATATTCATTTTTTCTGCTTCTGTGGCACTGACCATGCCCATTGGGGGTGGAGCCAGGAGCGGAAATGATCTGTAGAACTAGGTCTGAGGAGGAGCCTGGGAACACTCTCTTGCTGGTGGGACACAGAGAGGACAGCATCTGGTGGAACTTGCTGGTGTTCATCTGTCTAGGTTGTGAAAGACCCCCACTATGCCTATTGCCTGTTTAAATTGCTCTTGCTAATTTGCCAAGGTCAAGTTATGAGAAAAGTACAGGAGGAAACCAGGTGCTGCTGTCATCCAACGCCAACCAGATATCTGTGGTCTGCAGCTTGGACCAAAGCAAGGTCAGCAGGACAGTGTCCAGTATGCTGAGAGAGTCATAACTGAATTCTTTGTATTCTTTGTGCCCAACCCGAATAACCAACTGTCCTTGGTTAACTACAACTGCTACATTTAGATGAAACAATGAAATCCCTGTAACCATGCTTCTGCTTCTGTAAGCCTGCTTCTTGCCACCCCAACCCTATATAAACTGCCTGAGTTTTAACCTCGGCACGCTCAGTCCCCCGAAAGACTGAAGCGTCCACAGGTACATGTGTAAACAATAAACAACCTCTTGCACTAGCATCCAGTGGTCTGTCTCATCTCTTGGGGGCAAGGGCCTTCCCCCTGACAGGCTCCAAACTCTTGGGGTCTCTGCTGGGGTCTTTCATTGGAGGTCCCACCGAGATTGGAGACCCTTCCCCCTGGAGACTGACACTGACACCCACCCGGAGGTAAGCTGGCCAGCGCTTAATTTCTGTTCTTTGTTGTCTTTTACTTGTTGCTTGTTGCGATCGGTAATCGGCTAGTCGAGTCTGTAGGCGGCTTGAGAAGGAGCTGACGAGCTCGGACTTCTACCCGCCACCCTGGGAGACGTCCTGGGGATCTGGGGCACCCGATTTTTCGGGGCCCACAACGAGTCCCAGGGATTCGTGGTTTTGGAGGGGCCAGGGGGGCTTAAGACCCTCTGTGCCTCCAACTCAATATCTGGTTTCAGTTTTACGCCGGAAAACGCGCAGCATGTCTTTGTGCCGGCTGTCTATGTGTTTTGTCTGTTCTGTTTATCTGTCTGATTATTTCGAAGAAAATATGAAACAATCTTTAACCACCCACTTAAGTTTACTTTAGATCATTGATGAGGTACAGAGCCGCGCTCACAATCAGTCGGTTAATATAAAAAAAAAAAAACTGCATCTGACTCCCCAGTAGCCAGCTGATTCCGCCATCAAAGGGACCTGCTGAGCCTTTCCCCTCCGCCAGGCTGCTGGATTAGGAGGCCAATTTCAATTTCAATACTGGCCTTTCTCGGCGTCCAACCTTTATAATTGAAAAATCTAACAACCCCTCCTTCTCCAAAGACCCTGTAGCTCTTTAACCTAATTGAATATAGCTTTTGCAGGTCCTTCTAACCTCAGAAGAAAAACAACATGTCTTCCTGGAGGCTCGAAAGAACGTCTTAGAAGATGATGGGAGACCCACTCAGTTGCCTAATAAAATTGAGGAAATTTTTCCCCT